GGACATAAGGTTAGTCAGTTCAATACTGATTTACGTCGACTAGGAATTAAATGCAAAGCAGAATGTTTATGTGGTAGTAAATGTGAAAATGCATATAATTTTTCTTTGAATGTGACTTGTTAAATGAAGAAAGAGACACTTTACTTAAAAATATAAGCAATACAACCAAAAATACAAAAAACTGAATTTGATATCCAATAGAAACGGGGATTTATGAGAACAAGATAACACAAAACAATTCAGTTGTGTACAGGGTTATATACGTAATACAAAGAGATTTATGTGAACTATACTTTTATCTCTGTTTGGTTATCTTTCTTATTCTTTTCTTTCCTTCTGTTCTGTACGTGTTAAGAACAATCTGTAAATCAATGGTGTTAAATATCTGGGAGAAGGTTTCATAAGTTGGAGAACTTGTACCCAATCCCATTCACTTTTTGTGAATAAAATATCTTTAAACCAAACAAAACGAGATTGCCTTTAAGTGATAACCGATGATAGCCGAAACTGTTGTTCTACTGTGACCAGCGCAGGTGGTGTCTAACACTAGAAATAATTGACCTTCATTTCGTCAAGTATGGCTTTTCATCGAGACTGACATTTGAGCTCATGTCAGGAAACACATGCATGTAGTTTTAAGTTGCATTGCCTGTCAGGGGCATATGTAGTTCCAATATGTATCTCTGTCATGTGACCATTATTCTGAACTCTTCCATCGAGCTCTCTGCCTCTTCATCATCTTTGGGCCGCCTCCGTGGTATAGCGGTAGAGTGTCCGCCCGGAGAGCAAAAGATCCGGGGTTCGATACCTGGCAGCGCCATACCAAAAGACGTTAAAAGATGGTACTTTTTGTTACCCTGTCTGGCGCTCGGCATTAAGGGGCTAAAACAAGGACTGGTCGGCTCGGAGTCAGTATACTGTGTCTGAGTGGGGTATTCATGTTAAACTGCGGCATGGTATCTCAGTGTACTAGCACTATAAATAGGCATCAGTCCGGACTAGTACGCACGCACGAACACACACACGCACACACGCACACACGCACACACGCACGCACGCACGCACGCACACACACACACACACGTGCATGCACGTCGCTATATTAGTGCAATAATCTTGGACGCGATGTTAAACCCCATTTCACCTCACCTTCATCCTCTTTAGATCCTGTCATTGAGCGTTTATAGGACACGTGTCTATCTTCGTCGACAGTTATGTAAGAACAACAGCATTCCCGAAGTTCCCCGCCGATATAGATGATTACGCCACCGCCAAGACGATGTTACACGTGCAGGATCGCGATAATGGCATTACAAGGACGTTTGACGTACTATTTCACAACACAAATACTACAATATGAAATGTAGAATTTCACAACACAAATACTGCAATATTGAATGTAGAATTTCTGACATCCAGAATCTCTGACATTACTGTAACAGTAATATTGCCTCCTTGTCATATTTTGTTCGCGAAGGCATTAGGTCTGGATAGGTGCCAAAGTGCATGGTAAATGGTTGCTGAATGACGTTCCCAGTGCCATAACTCAACTGCAGCTGCAGAGCGCAGGAACATCGGGTCAGGATATGCTCTGAGTCTGGCTGAGGGTCTGTGTATGTCTGTCTATAAACGAAGATGGGAGAAACCAAGCCCCACCCAGCCTCACATCACCCCCGAAGGCATCTGTCGACCATGTATCAGCCTCCAGTGTCAATTTAAAATATCCTTGCCCTGGAGAATTTATTCACACTTAATTGTGCTTTCAACATTATTCCAATCATTTCATGACATGTCAGTTTAATGTTGGAGGATATCCCGAAGTGATGCAGGTCTTAGACGTTTACCACTTTGATGAAAAGAAAAGCGACAAAACCATTTCCACAATTATAAGAAATACCTGCTAAATCCATTCAACGATTCCGACTATATCATAAGCATGTGTTTATGAATCACTATCAAATAGTGATGATACCAGGTGTTCGCGAAAAGGTGACCGTATCCTGCCATACCGTTTGCATCCATCACAAACACATGCAAAGGCAAGTTAATTGTTCACCTGAAAAAGCACGGGAGCATTTGGTCAGTCACAAGTCAATTGTTTTTGTCACTGATGTGTCAGATTTGGGAATGTCCTCCACATGTCTACCATAAAACTTTTTGAAAACTTTGCTAAGGCCTTGAATGTTGTAACCTTGATCAAACAACTTTTGAGCCGTATGCGCTGCTAGAATATTGCTCAATATAAAATGAAGTTGACAAGTGGAAAGTTGAAGTCGTCAGTCTTGTAATTATAATTTGTGTTATTCTGAATCGCTATGCATGGATATAAATATGAAACAGATGAATCTGGGATCGAACCCACGATCGTAGGATTCTGGCACGCACAAGGGACATAACTCTTAACCGTGAATTGCGGCTCCTAAGACGACTGAGCCTCCCGTGCCCCCTCAGTAAATCTGTAGTTGACTATAGACGACTTCAGCAGACAGAGGTTGTGATGACCTACCCAGAATAGCTCTCTAATAATCGTGAACGGTATGGATTTCCTCCCTTCGACAGATGCGGGTCTGTCTGACGATACCTCTCTGCATCTCTAACGATGCCTTCTGAAGACACACCCACTTCTTCAGGAGATTAATGTGCATTAAATATTTTACAAGCAATCACAGTTAAAATTTCAAAAGTATCCTTGATACGGAGTAAACAAACATAAACAAACAACATTTGTAATGACTTTCTTAATCTGGTCTAACGTTCAGATATCACTCCCACCTGTCATCGATATGCTTTCACAATAACAACTACCCCGGAGAGTATTATAGATTGCCATTAAATCGAGGCCTGTCTTATATTAGTCAAGGCTGATATTCAGTTGACGTGGGATTAAATCGTGGCGGAATGGGGGTTTATTTTCTAAAGCGGACGTGGCCGTGCCACTGAATATCTTTCAAGCAATCACAGTTAAGACGAGACATCACATTTAATATTATTCCATCAATGTTACAACGTGAAATTTTAAATTGTTTTATATAAAAGATTAAAATGGAATATTAATTTGTGGTATCCGTGAAGATCCGGGATGGAATAAGTCTTCAGCAAACCCATGCTTGCTGTAAACGACGACTATGCTTGTAACAGGCGACTAACGGGATCGGGTGGTCAGGCTCGCTGGCTTAGTTGATGCATGTCATAATATCCCAATTGCGTAGATCGAATCTCATGGATTGTCTTGTCCAGACTCGATAATTTACAGACCGCCGTCATATAGCTGGACTATTGCTGAGTAAGGATTTAAACAACAAACAAACGAAACAAACTTAATTTGTGTAAATCGTTGGGTCCGTTGTATCAGTAGGATGGGTATTTAAGACCATATACCATGCTCAAAAGATTTAACCTACATTCTGATACTACTGTTGTAGAATGTGAATTCCTATCACAAACTCAACAGATCGAATATGATCAGCTGGGACCGTGTGTACGGCAGCTGTCACTGTGGGCGTTATGTTATGACAAAGTCACGTCGTGTAACCAGCAACCGTACGTGACCGTCTAGTGTCTGCACAGCACCTGGCCTTGACGTGTGTTGTGTCACGACACATACCAGTGTCACCCCATCACCACAGCTGGACCAGCTGTACTAGCAAGCTGTACATGTATAGATCGAACAGCGTGACAATTGCCATTGTTTCCGCAAATGTACATTGTTAAAATCAAATTTTGGACACCAAAGATATCGGAATCATTCAAATAATTATCACCAACGTAGCAAGGGAAGAACTGTGCGATAACAGAAAAAGAACTAAATTGGTGAACATCCTTAGTCCGAAAGCTATTTGTTTAAACCAGAGTGTCTTTTCATTTCTACATTTTATTAACACCATTTTTCAATGCTGTTGCTTCTACCCCACATGCAACCACTAAACAGAAAATAAGGGTGATAGATGCAAACCCAGGTGAATAAAATAGAATAATGCTCCTCGTAATGATACATACTCTGAGTGGGAAATCGGGTTCCCTGGAAGCGCTCGTTAAATCCCCAACGTAAGTGAGTTGATCCACTCAATGTGAAATTGCTTCATCTGGAAGCGCTCGTTAAATCCCCAACATAAGTGAGTGGATACACTCAATGTGAAATAGCTTCAACTGGAAGCGCTTTTCAATTCTCAGCATAAGTAAGGGATACACTCAATGTGATATAGCTTCAACTGGAAGCGCTCGTTAAATCGTCAGCATAAGTGAGTGGATACACTCAATGTGAAATAGCTTCAACTGGAAGCGCTCGTTAAATCCCCAACATAAGTGAGTGGATACACTCAATGTGATATAGCTTAAACTGGAAGCGCTTTTCAATCCTCAACACAAGTGAGTGGATACACTCAATGTGATATAGCTTCAACTGGCAGCGCTCGTTAAATTCTCAGCATAAGTGAGTGGATACACTCAATGTGATATAGCTTCAACTGCAAACGCTCGTTAGACCCTCCAAACCAATCAGTCCTGACATTCAAAATAGTGCGTTACGAGGGTTTGAGGCCGAAGGTGGCTCCAGCATATTTAACAGGGAGGGGTCCAAATGTATGCCGTGTATACTTAAAAGTGAGGTCGCATATATATTTTTTTTTAAAAGAATACCGTGAATATTTTAAAAGTAAGGGTGACCTGTATAATAAGTAAGGTTAGTTGGTTTGTTTGTTGTTTAACGCCGCACTCAGCAATATTCCAGCTATATGACGGCGCTCTGTAAATAATCGAGTCTGGACCAGACAAACCAGTGATTAATATCATGAGCATCGATCCACGCAATTGGGATACGATGACATGCATCAATCAAGTCAGCGAGCCTGACCATCCGATCCAGTTAGTCGCCTTTTACGACAAGCATAGTCACCTTTTACGGAAACCATGGGTTGCTGAAGACCTATTCTACCCCGGAATCATATTAAGTAAGGATGACCTGCACATATCAATCACCACGTGTAACATATCCTAGTACTTACAGTTAGGATGGCTGGTCGGTTAATGACAAACATCTTCAGTGCGGACAGCCCGATGTCGTAGCCAGTCAACCGATTCAGAAACAGCGTCAGCTGGAAGAGTAAAGGCTTATCATACAAAAAAGAATTCGATGTAATTATAAAACACCAAGGCTAGAGAATAACCACTCTCGACTAACCGCCGAAACAGATTTCCTTTGGCGTTAAAGGCAGATTTGCGACCTTAAGGCGTGCCAGAAACATATTATCATGGGTTCGAATCCCGTGTTACCCTGATAAGGTTCCAGGTTTGTCTGCACCACACTGGTTTCACGAAAGTGCTAAACGTCATAAACCTTCCCCCTATATTAAGCTGACACACCGTGACATACTAGTCACTGAAATACTGTAAAAGCGGCGTTAAACCCAACTTACTCACTGACTGTTATCAGATGGGTTTAGGTACATCTATGGTTGAGTGTAACCTTTTGTCCTGTATCGAAGGGGCGGTCGGGTAGCCTAGTGGTTAAAGCGTTAGCTCGTCACGCCGAAGACCCGGGTTCGATTCCCGACATGGGTACAATGTGTGAAGCCCATTTCTGGTGTCCCCCGCCGTGATATTGCTGGAATATTGCTAAAAGCGGCGTAAAACCTCACTCACTCACTCACTCCTGTATCGAAAGCAACTTTTAGAAAACAGACAGTTGCAAGTGCTAATCCCTACCGGACACTAATACCTGATCCACAATGACTTGACATTGAGTTCATCTTGCTAACGAGCTGTTGTTAGCGGAACGGGGTAATAAACATGAAAATCTGAGGAGAGTATTTAATTAATATCTGTGTCTCATGTAACAATGAACAAAGAACGCGAGGTAGATGGGTCAATAATAGCACGCTAATCGTAGTTTGCTATCGGTGAAGTAGTGATTTTGTCCAGGTCTCTTTTATCCAACTTAACAGGGATTAACTGTATCTTCAAATATCATCATCATCATCATCATCATCATCATCATCATTTTCATCATTATCACCGTTTTCGTCGTCAATAATTTTATTATTGTTTCATTGCCTTCCCATGTGATTTTGCTAAATGGTGATACTGTTGCAAGATGCTAGGAATTACGGAACAGCTGTCCCAAGTGAAGCAATGATTTAAATCCCTTGGTGAGGAACTTTTAACGTTTTTATCACGAGGGAAAGATAACCCTCATTTGTGAGGTATTAGTAGGTTACTCCATATTACCCAATATCTGTATTGAGAGACTTTAGAAAACAATGTGCGTTTCAAGCTCAGTCAAATGTATGTCGTCAGGATCAACTGTGTGTAAAAAGTAAACAAAGATTCGATGTTTACCTCCAGAGGTCGATCTTTGAGAAAGTCCGCCTTGATGTTGTAGATGACTGAAAGTGGGGCATGGGCCTGTAAAACAATGAAATTGCTTAAATTAAAAATTAATTTAAAATTTTTTGCTTGTTGTTAAGCGCCGCCATAAGCAATATTCCAGCTATATGACGGCGGCTGTCAATAATCGAGTCTGGACCAGACAAGCCAGTGATTGATATCATGAGCCACGCATTTGGGATACGATGACATGCATCAACCAAGTCAGTGAATCTGACCACCCGATCCCGTTAGTCGTCTCTTGCGACAGGCAAAGTCGCCTTTTACGGCAAGCATGGGTTGCATGGATCTTCACGGGTCTTCAGGCTTTGTGTCGTGGTTTACTGGTGTCATGATACCCCGATGGCCTTTGGTGCTCATGCTGTCAGTCACTGGTTTGTTTGGTCACTGCTCGATTATTAACACGCTGCCTTGAGACAGCTTGGATAGAACTGACTGCGGCGTGAAACAGCATTAAATCACTCACTTATTCACGAGCAAGTCCGTGAGTGAGGTATAACGCGGCTTTGAACATTATTCCAGTTATATCACGGCATGTCAGCTTATTGAGTCCCGAGGAGATGCAGGTCTCAAACGTTTACCGCTTTGGGGAAACCCACCATCACGGGCATGGTGCTGAGAAACCGTGAAATATAATTATACATAACGAACCTGGGCCACCCGTGCCCCCGCCACACCCTCACCCACACACCCACACACCCACACACCCATTGTGCTGCACATCTACTACGTTTATTACATATCCACTCGACCCGTGAAGATCCGGGTTAGAATAGGTCTTCAGCAACCCATGCTTGCCGTAAACGGCGACTATGCTTGTCGTAAAAGGCGACTAACGGGATCGGGTGGTCAGGCTCGCTGACCTGGTTGAAGCATGTCATCGATCCCAATTGCATGGATCGATGCTCATGATATCAATCACTGGATTGTCTGGTCCAGACTCGATTATTTACACACCGCCATCATATAGCTGGAATATTGCTGAGCGCGGCGTAAAACAACAAACCAACCAACATATCCACTCGTATACTCAACAAACTGGCAAAGAGCTCCATCACTGAAGACTTCCAACACACGAGAGTGTGTGATGCAGGCACACATTAAGAACAGGAAACAACGAAACACTTTAATGACGCCAGTGCATCTTCAGAAAGCAATAAATAGCCCGAGAAAGCTCTTCTGTGAAAACAAGCGCAGTTATACGGGATGACCTTTACGCGCTTTTATATGCGATAATTCTAAATCGGCTGATAAAGATGTTGCAGAACAGAATGAAAACTTGTGAATCCCAATAAAGAAGCAACGAGGAAATGTGCTTCCACATTTGTTACTTTTAAGAACTCCCAAAAGTGCCCTGGGTTGCGTTCATGAACATTTGTTTTTACCTTTATGGAGCTTTGCGGAAGGAGCAATCATTCTTAAAATGTGTGCGTGTGTGATATCATATTGGTTTAAGTTCCTGGCGATAGCTAATCAGTGGTTGACACGCCGTCGGGACAGGGTGACACTAGGTGTCATGGGCGGCCAAATGGTCACAAATCGGTGCAGAGTTGCGTCCCTTGGGCACGTCAGGAACCGATGATCTTGTGTTCGAATTCCGGTTTGTTTTGATCATGTTTCTTGCTTTGTCGGCACCACACCTGTACTCATGATTTTCCCCAAAGTCTTAAATGGCTAAGAACTGCATCACTTCGACCTTTCCTCCTACATCAAGTGGACACGCTGTGAAAAAGCTAATCAGAAATACTATTCAAAGTAGCGCGAAACCAAATTTACTCGCAAATAAGCAGCAAGGTCACACATTGTAACAAAAGCTGCTCGGAAATCTCCACGAAAAGGAACCGCCTCCGCGGTCTAGTGGTAGAGCGTCCGCCCGGAGAGCGGAAGGTCCGGGGTTCGATCCCAGGCCGCGTCATACCAAAAGACGTTAAAAGATGGTACTTGTTGTTACCCTGTCTGGCGCTCGGCATTAAGGGGCTAAAACAAGGACTGGTCGGCTCGGAGTCAGTATACTGTGTCTGAGTGGGGTATTCATGTTAAACTGCGGCATGGTATCTCAGTGATATGTTCAATATTTAGTCTTGCTTGACAACGGTATAAGTATCTAAAATGCCTACCAAACATTTTAGTAAAGGATACTAGGAACCAACTCAAAGACAAAGATATGGATCCTCAGGAACTTTGGCCTTTCATATGTGTATTGTTGTACGGATAATCATTACCCATTGATACATTCAAGGATATTTATCTAAGATGGATCGGACGCAGTGGAGGACATTGATGAGTTTCATTGTAAGTAGGGAAACATTATTGTCTTTGTACTCATGGCCATACAAGGGTCAGTTGGGGGTTTTCAGACAATTTCTCATTGGAAAATCTAGTGACAGATGCATCGGCATAAAGATTCAGATTGACAAATACGCTCCACAAGACTGTATGACAAGAGGAATGTCTTCAAATTTCCAAGTCAACTTCCCCTTCTTGTCGAGCATTATTCTTGCAGTTCCAGCGTACGTTTCTTTTACATTTCTATGAGGTACAACATTACATGCTCTTACTACCAAGATTCTCAAGAGCGTCATACGACTCTTGCTCAGAAGTTGGTTGATCAACATTCAAGGCATCAGTAAAGCTTTCAAAAGCTTTTATGGTAGAGGACATTTCCAACTTTGACGCATCAGTGACAAAAATGATGTCCGATGCGATTTCTTTTTTTGAGGTGTACCATATGTTCCCATTTTATTCCTTTTGGTGAATAGTTGCATTGCCCTTGCATGTGTTTGTGATGGGTGCCACGGTGTTTCAGGATACATTTGCCTTTTCGCGAAAACCATCGCAATCATACAGTCGACTCTGCTTTCAGCAGAGATTTCCTAGGAATATGGAAAGGGTCTTGTCGCTTTTATTTATTAGAGATACATGGAAATACCTTCCTGGTGATGATTGTACCTTACTTCCGGGTCGCGTGTCACAAAGTGATTAAAGCTGATGGAGCTACTGTGTTTTAACATAGTCGTTAAGGTTGCTGTGTCTTGGGCCCCGTACACCAAGCTATCGTAGAACTACGATTGTCGTTACTCCCACAACTTAACATGAACTTACGACAGAAGGAGCATACGCTTAACATGGACTACGACTGACGTAGTGTTGCGATTGTCGTAACTTCCATAGATAACATGGACTTACGACAGACGTAGCACTAAAATTGCTCCATGTGTCTAGGGCCCCGTTTCACCAAGCGATCGCGGGACTACGATTGTCGTTACTCCCATAGCTTAACATTACGACAGATGTAGAACTAAGATTTCTTCTTGAAGTGGGACACAGTGCTAACAGGAACGACCATTTCTGAAACAACTGACATTTGACCTCAGAGGTTCCAAAAAGTATAATCATTCATTGGTCATTCCGAAGGTCCGGAGGTCCTGAGTTATGGGTCCCAAAATATATTTGACACCTCCTTACATAGACAAAATGTGGATGCCTTGTAGCAGTGACAGGGAAATAGTATTCTTTGACATAACTTCCAGGCATCAACACAATTAACCACGTCACCGAGCCTGACCACCTGGTCCAATGTAGTCGCTACAATAATAGGGGGCTAGATTAACAACGAAATGACCCGTGAAGATCTGGGTTAGAATTGGTCTTCAGCAACCCATGCTTGTCGTAAGAGGCGACTAACGGGATCGGGGAGGCTCGCTGACATGGTTGATTTATGTCATCGTATCCCAATTGAAGGATCGATGCTCATGATGTCAATGACTGGATTGTCTGGTCCAGACTCGATTATTTACAGACCGCCGTCATATAGCTGGAATATTGCTGAGTGCGTCGTTAAACAACAAATAAACAAACAAACACTCACGCGTCTGTTATCAAACACGAATACACCGTACTCACCCCCATGTTGATGTAGGCACAGACGACGGCGACCACGATCATGTGGAAGGTGAGGAAGCACAGCCAAAACACGTTGAGCAGGAGGATGGAGAAGTGTCTGCTGGTGTAGATGATGTTGTAGAGGATGACGCAGCACAAGGGGATGTTGGACATGAAGACGAAGGCGATCATGATCATAAAGATGTCGTCCAGGACCTCCACCAGACGACACACGCCTTGATGGCGCAGACGATAATCCTCCAGCTCCGCTGAGAACTTCCCGTCAGACGAGATGTGAGACGAGAGTTCCTTGTTGATGACAAAAAACTCCCGAGATACAGCCAAGGACATAACAATAAGCAGAGATACCGACGATATGGCTACAGAGGAAGCGAAATACACCAAAACAATCATCATTATTTTGTAAGGCAGTTTCATGTCCGCTTCAGCTGCGCCCGGAAGCGTGGCATTCAGAAACAGTTCCTCAAGGTCCGGGACAAAGAAAAAGGTGACAGCAACGCCGATGGTGTTTACTATAGAAAAGTTCCAGCTCAGCAGGATTGCCTTCTTCATGACAAGCTTGAGAAATTTATCCGGTTTCTTATCTTTACAAATTTCCCGCCACAGCTTAAAGAACAAGGGAAGTAAATCCTTCTTATAAGAAGCCAAAAACATGACAGCCGCTTTAGAAAAACCCTCCAGCGACCAAATGCATAGTTCAAGCTTAAAAAACAAGATTTCATCAAAAGGTTCTCCCCTCTTGAACACGAGAAAGGATCTAATACTGTTCCCTAATGTGATTCCGCATACCACTGCACACACTACCGCCCACTTTCCTATAATGAACTTTCCTGCACTGGTCTCGCTTCTCTGGAAGAACAGACCTGTTAGTCTAAGACTCCAGAACAATGGCCGAAGGTCTTTGAAGAAGGAACATTCTTCATAGCAGTCAATGACCTTCATGTCGTCGTGAGTGGGTTTATTAGAAATAGGAGGAAACCCCTCTTGTTGCAAGGCGCTGTTGACGTCATCACGTGTGGTCCAAGCTTGCATTGTTCTGTCCCTCTCTATTCCCACCACCCCCCTCTCTCGGACAATCACAATCCTCTCGCGCTTCTTAGGCGACGTTCTTGCCATGAATCAAATCAGAACCGATCGAATTCCGTTTTCCTTTCTTTATAAAAACAATTATTTAAGTTTAAAAAATGGCGTCCAAAGTAGTTCAATATAGAGGCGGGTGTGTTCGATCTCTGGTGTTCCAACTACAGGTACATGTCCATAATATGGCCTGTCTTTCAGTTACGAAATACTTCTTCCACCGTTGCCATTCATAAGAAACTATTCAACCAGTTGCATCTCATTGTTGTCTTGATTTCATTGCCAGTGTTACGAATACAGCAGAGTATCACAGATATACTCCCTGGGCGCCTGGTTAATAATCTACCCGCATCTGCAACACACGTTCTATATGCGTGATGACAACATGTCCTTAGCTCCTGAATCTAGTCGATGGCGATCAATATTCAACATCCCTGGTTATTTTTAAGAAGACACCGAGTTATATCATCAACCAATACTTTCATTGTGCAGATCCAATTAAACTTGTGCTAGTCTTGTGTGTTTGCAGTCATCACTGATGTCCTTCACCGACCGTATCCTGATATCATGGCCAGACCCATCGACTCATCTACCTGGAACATCAGAGTAATGTTTCTTTTCATGTTTTGAGTGATGGGGGCGATCTGATGCATATATTTCTGTCATCAAATAAGTACGAAAAAGCGTGTTTTCGTGACAAATTAAACACGAGGGTGTAAATGGTTCCATACTCTAAACATATGTGACCAACCATGGCATAAGGGACCTCATGGGAGAAAAATCACATAATGACTTTAAATATAAATATTTGATATAAATGTAATATAAATAAATATATAAATATAATATTTAAAAACTACATTATCTTGGGACCACAAAAATACAATTCATAAGCTTCAATTCATATTTATTACATATATACATGGCATCAAACATTTTGACTCATTTTCTGCAAAGTCCCATTATCAGACATGTAACTGTTTCTGTAATGATTGCAGTTTTTAGATATATGTCTGATTAATTGAAAGAAGGCATATATGCTGAAATGTTTTGAAATAAAGTTTTTATTACATTACAAACTAACGAGAGATAATTATATAAAATATTTGTGTTCAGTCCGCACACATGGCGACTTTTACTGAAGAAATTTGACGCCAAACGTTTTTATGATGTCACAGCACAATTGCATCCTAACACACATAAGGTCCCCTTTCTCCAAGTTGGGTACATATGTCAGTGATAGCCTATATTGTACTGTCCTTTGTTGACAGTTTTTCATATAAGTCTGTTATTGATGACTCACATCTCCTCACGATATGGCTAAATTATTACCGATGTGACGTAAAATTCTAACTTACTCACTCACGATTGCGTGGACCTGTTCAGGTCTTTCTTTGACATAAATAGTTCAACGCTGTCAAGGAGCCAAATACAACCAATTTCACCTGAGTCGAAATGAAGCAGGCGATTGCACGTGCAATTCAAGATGTCGTTGTGTACAAAACTTAATGCACATGGTGAAGTAATTACTCGGAGATACCCGTTGACTAAGTCATCTTGACATTGGGTTTCATTGATATTATGAACAACGCACTACGCGGGAAGATGACAGTAGGATTCAATATTACTACAGTTATAATTTTCGTAATATATCTGATAAACGCTATTAATGACACTACTTTTGCTCTCTTGAAAAGCTCGGTTAAAAAAAGAAGTCTGCCTTACTTGCACTACAGTTCTTCTGTTACATTGTTTCAGTTTAACTACAGTTCTTCTGTTACATTGTTTCAGTATTACTACAGTTCTTCTGTTACATTGTTTCAGTATACATGTACTACAGTTCTTCTGTTACATTGTTTCAGTATACATGTACTACAGTTCTTCTGTTACATTGTTTCAGTTAAACTACAGTTCTTCTGTTACATTGTTTCAGTATTACTACAGTTCTTCTGTTACATTGTTTCAGTATAACTACAGTTCATCTGTTACATTGTTTCAGTATTACTACAGCTCTTCTGTTACATTGTTTCAGTATTACTACAGTTCTGCTGTTACATTGTTTCAGTATTACTACAGTTCTTCTGTTACATTGTTTAAGTATTACTACAGTCCTTCTGTTACATTGTTTCAGTATTACTACAGTTCTTTTGTTACATTGTTTCAGTATTACTACAGTCCTTCTGTAACATTGTTTCAGTATACATGTACTACAGTTCTACTGTTACATTGTTTCAGTATACATGTACTACAGTTCTTCTGTTACATTGTTTCAGTATTACTACAGCTCTTCTGTTACATTATTTAAGTATTACTACCGTTCTTCTGTTACATTGTTTCAGTTTTACTACAGTTCTTTTGTTACATTGTTTAAGAATTACTACAGTCCTTCTGTAACATTGTTTCAGTATACATGTACTACAGTTCTGCTGTTACATTGTTTCAGTATTACTACAGTTATTCTGTTACATTGTTTCAGTATTACTACAGTTCTTCTGTTACATTGTTTCAGTATTACTACAGTTCTTCTGTTACATTGTTTCAGTATTACTACAGTTCTTCTGTTACATTGTCACAGTATTACTACAGTTCTTCTGTTACATTGTTTCAGTATTACTACAGTTCTTTTACATTGCCACAGTATTACTACAGTTCTTCTGTTACATTGTTTCAGTATTACTACAGTTCTTCTGTTACATTGTTTCAGTATTATCTTCTGTGTCAATGTTTCATCACCAGTCATATTTTTGGAACGTTCATTTAAATATTGTGTCACGGCTGTTATATGATTACTTATCTTTCTGTTATAAGATTTCAACCTCAATACAATCGTTCTGTTACAGGGATTGAACACCAATAAAATCGTTCTGTTCTGTTGAAATGTTTCAATACTAAGACAAACACTCTGTGACAGGGCTTTCGCCCCGATCAAATCATTCTGTTAAAAGGTTCCAGTACCAATACACTCATTTACAAGGAGTGTTCACCAAAACATTCATTCCGTTTCAGGGTTCAGTACCGCATAACGCTTTCTGTTCTCATTGTTTCAAGAACACACATTTATTCTTTTTAGATTCTGTATATTCTGTTACGAATCTGTTTATTCTGTTAAGATTATGGGTTTTTTTGTTAAGAAGGCTCCGATACGAGTACCCTTACTTTTGTTATCTTCTGTTCGAATTCAGACGCTTAAAATTTACTTGACCTACACCTATCTCTACCATACAAAACTGAATAAATATGGTACATCAGGTTGAGCTTTTCTTTGAAATATTAGAATATAACGCGTTTTATTTCTTCATCGTCCGTTTTCGTGGAGGCCTAAACTTGAGACAATTCTTACAAATATTCCATAATTCTAGGTTAATAGTCTTTGTCTTTCAGTACCGGTTCTGGTACCTTTCTGTTGGTTACCATCTACATCGCCACGTGGGGATTCTGGGTTAGGAGAGAGAAGCAGCAACCTATGCTGATCGCTAGAGGCGACTTAATGGATGTGGTGGTCAGTCTCGCTGATGGCGTTCCATCGTACCCTGACCGCGCGGATCTTTGTTCATATCAAAAACTGGTTTGTCTGGTCCAGACTCGAACATTTACAGAGCGCCGTGTTATAGATGGAATAACGCTAAACAACAACCAAATACAAACTACGTCAGTTTGGGATTTCCTCACACATTCAGCTCACCTTTTTGATATAACTATAATAATATTTAATCAACATCCACTCACCCACCCTGTATAAACTGCAAGCAGAGTGAAACCCTGTTATTCCGGGATTCCCGTCCTTCAGACCATCACGATTGGGAACCTCTGCATATATAACATTGATACGTGTTCGTACTCACACCTCGTTAATCCAGACATTGGTTAATCCGCATTACTTTACATTGACAGTATTGTCCGGATAATCAGGGTTAAACTGTTGTGTAACACACCGCTTGCCTTATACAGGGCATGACAGCAAACACAGCCTGTGTAATACGTTGTGATATGGTGTTATCGACCACATGCTGTGTCAACGTCCTTCCTTTTGGCTGAGTGTTTTATTCGTAATTCCAGCTGCATGACCCGCTGAAAACTCATTCTCAGAAAATCGTTTTTTGTATTTTTTTCTTTGGAAACTGTCTCCATGTCTTCGTCTAATATGTATGTATACGAGGTGGGGATTACGGCTGCCTAAGGCAGCCCATCCTCGAGTATCTTGGGTATAATATACTGAGGGCAAAAGAAAGTATACCGAGTTTGTATTTATGTACTTGTGAAAATTGAACTGTTGTTAAATTCCATTATGTCTATTTAATCATCACTCATTCCTGCAACACTTTGTAAAAAGTGTTCTGTGGCGAGGTAATTTTGTGTAAGAATAAATTGGTTCAATGAAGACTGGGGTAAGAAATAATTTTCCACCTTGTTTGAAATGTTGTACAGTTGTGCCGAAAAAAATGCAAATGTTTTGATGTTAAAAGATTAGATGTTTAAGATACCCATCAGCAGTTGTGTATTGTGCGAAAACCCGATCCCGTTAGTAGCCCCTTACGACCCATGAAGATCCGGGGTAGAATAGGTCTTCAGCAACCCATGCTTGTCGTAAAAGGCGACGGGAATATTGCTGAGTGCGGCGTTAAACAAACAAACAAACAAAAGTAACCTCTTACAACAAGCATAAGTTGCTGGAGATTAATTCTCGCTCTGAGGTTCACAGGGAGCATAGTTTGTCTGTTTGTTTGTTTGTGTGTTATTTAACGCCGCACTTAGCAATATTCTAGCTACATGGCGGCGGTCTGTAAATAATCGAGTTTGGACAAGACGATCCAATGATCGACATCATGAGCATCGATCCACGCTATTTGGATACGATGACATGTATCAACCAAGTCAGCGAGCCTGATCACCCGATCCCGTTGGTCGCCTTTTACGACAAGCATAGTCATCTTT